AAGACCAATGATAAAAATTCAAATTTTGAATGTATTTTTTTCGATTTTGGTCGGCGACATGCTCTGAAATTTAAACTGTACATCCATTGAGGGATATTTTCAATTTGCAAAACTAATATAAGCGTCGAGAAGTATGTATACAAACTTTAAGACCGATTTACCAAGTCGTTATTGAAATATCCTCGTCAAAAAATCACTCTTAACATTGGAGAAATGGTGCAAACACTACATAGCCCCATTATTTTAAAAAGTGTAACTTACTGCATATCTATAAATAATTGAAAACTACTGAAAACTACCTTAGACAGTAAAGAAACAAATACATTTTTTCGAGAATTTTTTACCACTTAGTTTTCAAGTAATAGTAATCAAAAAAGTGCTCTTCGTTTGATTTTGGAAAATAACCAAGTAAGTATAGCATATGTGGCAACGTCGCATTGTTACATGAATACAAGTAGATAGATGTAAATGTTTATGTATGTATAAGTATACGCAAAGGCATTCACATTTCACTCTGATATTTTGAATACGGAATGATATATGTATACTGTATATCTATGTATAAGATTGACCTATATATTGGGAAACAACTACCTTAAGGAAAAGGCTGATGAAATTTCCAGCTGAAGTGGCTGAAGTGTTAGAGTATATTGTGCGTAGACTGGACGACTCCTAGTATTATGCCACGGACATTGGCGTTCAGAACGTTTATTGTTTCAGAACACTAATAATCTTGGCGATTCAGGGTGACATTCGACATGAGCCTACTGTGTATTGGAGAAGAGTGTTGTCGGTAGCTTGGATACCCAGCTGCACGACTACTAAGTCTGCACTTGATGTACTGCCGGAGAACGACTATGGGAATTGACCATTTTCTATTGTAACTAGACTCACTTTGATTGCAGATGGCTTCGATTTGACTTCGACGCCACCTAGAGGATCCTGCTGAACTAAAGTGAAAAGCTAGCTTATTTTTTCGAAACTTTAAGATCATTTATTACTATTGTTATTAATTTTGTTAAGATACAAGTTCGAAGAATTGGGTTACGAAGAAGGATACGAGCGCAGTCTGGGGAGAACTTTCGCAAACCAGGACAGGATGCTCTGGGGGAGCCTTTACATGGCTGCATATGGAGTAGGGATGTAAGTACATTGTTTTTAAATTAAATTTTAAATTAACTAACAAGTGTTTCGCCGTAAAAAAATGAATAATAGCTACTTAAGAAAATGTAAAAACAACAGTTTTTGTACACTCTATGATATTAACTGGCCAAATTATAAATAAACATGATTGTAAGTGTCAAGTAGTTGATAAAAAAATTTATGTAACACATTTTTTTTTTTTTTTTTTTTTTTTTTCAAAAAAAATACACTTCGATTTTTTTGTACATATTATTCCATTAGAATATGGCAAAACCATGGATTGCAAATTAATAATTTAAAAGATGTCAGGACTTAACACTTATGCTAATATTTATTTAAAATCTAACTAGTTTCCCGATTGGAAATCTAAACGGGGCGGTATCTTGGCACGATTTTGACAGCCCAGCTAACCTATCTTAGTTCCAATATGGCTAAGGTACAGAATTTAGATGACGTCATAAAACAGGGGAACGCTAGGCACAACCTTGGGAGCCTTCTTATATTACCTCGGATTAAGAGCTTTTATATCAATGTCATTTTAAATAGGAAAATCTGAGATACATTTTTCTCTATTCAAGATTAGTAATTTATTATTTAGGAGAATAGTCATAAGGAAGCATACAACAAAAAATTAAATTATCATGGATCTACAAGAAAATAATTCAAGCTTTTTGAAAAATAAATCATACTTATTTATCCATACAGTTTTGGACACATCACATTGTACACAAAATAAAATCTGATAGTAAAACATAATTTATTTTGGCCATTAGCATTTGTATTGTTTTTACTAATTCTAGCTGCTTTTCCTTTTTTCCAATCTGTGGAGTTCAAAAACATAATTCCAAGAGCAGATAAAATTATTTTATCACTGATATGCTTATCCAATGAAAAGTTACTGTTACAGATGGACAGTAGGGAAACTATAAATATATAGAAATAAGTATTTAAACATGAGAAAAAAATAAATTTTTACTTTTCATGTAAATTGTTAATTAAATTTTAACTGCATTGTGATTGAGGTGATTTTTTGACTTAAGGACGTTCTTCAAATAGTTACCGGGGGAAAAGTTTAGAGAAGTAAGGGGAGCGCAAATATGTACAGCAAAGCTGGCAATTGTTTTTCTCCTACGGATATACTTACACACTTGCTTTTACGCATACTTGATCCCCTCTTCCCAAATTTATTTAAAAATCATCATGTGGATCTATTTAAAAATCTTATAGGTTTTTCAAAAAGTAATCTATTATACTAAAAAAATTAAGAGATTTCTATAGATAATATCAATGCAATTTTACGTGATCTTTTCATAAGGTGTTATGTTTGTTTGCGATTTTTTAAAATTAAACATATAAAAAAAGGGTACAGTTAAAAGATTTGCAATTTTTTGTATATTTTTCATACTATCTCGAATGTATGTTTGATGTGAATAATACCTGTACAAAAAACCTGTGTGTTATGAAAGTCTTGAAGGGACATTCACTGGCATGTAATATTGAAGAAAGTGGTACTGCAGGATGGTTTTTCTTAATCTTCTAAATCCATTTTGGATTATATTTTCTAGATTATATTTAGGCTATTCAATATGGACTAGTAATAAGTGTGTGAGCGTGACATTAGAGATGTAATCAGCCTAGGCAGTTTTGAAATCATCGGAAGATTTGGTGAAAGCATACCGTCTTGTGCTGGCCAGCCTATATATTGTTTGTATTGTATTGTGCCGTAATATATTGTTTATAATCGTTAACTTATTCAAAATTAAAATATTAATTAAAACCATACCCAATCAACATAGATATACTCATTTCCAAGATGATTGCACCATCTTTCTACACAATATTATATTATAGAAGGTATTTTTATACTCATAATTATATTATTTGCTATATAACTCCATAGTTATTCCATGGAAGTATAACTTCATACTAGGGTACCCAAACACCCACTGTCCACTGGTTTGTATACAAATTTGTATAGTAACAACTAAACCATCTCGGCTACAGTGACTCAAGTCCAAAGCAATAAGTACGATAAACTGCTTTTGTACTCTTTTATTAGTTAGTATTGTAATACGATTTACTTAATCACTTATTTTCTAATATTTGTAATAAATAGATTTCCATATCAAACTTTTTGGATGTTTATGTTACCTTGTCATGAAAAATACACTTAAACTGCTCTAAACTCTAATATATATACACTACACTATAGTGTACCTATCAAAGTTTCATATACATACGAAGAAAAGTGAGACAGAAGATACTAAGCTATTGGCCCTAGACAGTGCCAACCTCAATCCCCATTTTAAATACTAATAATTTCAACATGGACGCGACCGTGGCTACATACCTTGGCCCTTCCCAGCAAGCTAAAGAGTTCCATTAGAATTTTCAATTGGGTTACCTGCGTACCCATCAATAATTTTCTGTTGCGAGAGAATACTTGTTTATTGACTTAAAACACGATTCAATAAAAATATGCTTACAGGTCTGCTCCATATTTAGCTATTATATGCGAAGGCATGAACAACATCAATCAGCAGAATGAGCAGTTAGTTGGATATCGTATCACAATAAATTTTGTCTCAACATTGATTTCGTCATTTTTGTAACTTTTAAATTTTTCATACCTGTTAAATGAAACAGGCGGTACTGCCACTACAAATTATAAAAAAACAAAAAATTCTCTAAATTATCATTTGTTTAAACTCAAATCTGAGTTAGTATTTTCTTAAAAGCAATTATGAATAAGCGCTTTCTTTGATCAAGAAGTCAAGTTGGTACGTCAAAATTTCGATCTCACCACAATTCCCTTAGAGCTCGTTCCTATAATAGTGTGATACTTCGCCACACCACTTGGCCTCGTACGCAGAGCGTGGAGATACATTTTTTTGCAATCAATGTTCAACGTCCTTGCCCGTAATTAAATGTAACGGCATTTTTAGTTGTTATAGATCAACTCTCAACGAACAAAAGCGATTTTAGTAAATTGGGGTATGTTAGGTTATTATTTTTAAAGGTTATTTTTGGAAAAGATCCTTCATTTTACATTTCTTAATGGATAGAAAAAATTTAACCGATCTTGCTGAAATTTCGTAAGCATTCTGAGGACTCTAAAACCAATATGTAAATTAAAACCTGCATTTAAATTTTAGCTATTAATATTAATTAGAGCATGAATTATAGATTCTTTTTAAAATAGCTAAAATACATGATTTTTTGCAATTGGCAAGAAAACCGCTGAACTGATTCGAACTCTATGTAACTTTTTTCTGTAAGATTTTGAGTTTTTCTTTTAGATACAAAAAACCTGTTTTAACTACTTTAACCATTTTTAGGGGGGCTTTTGTTAAACTTTTTAGATGTTAGAAAGTAATACAGTTTGTTAAAAATATAAAAACTAGCCGTAAATACATTTTTGTGCTACTATTGATTTCCTATTTATTCGAAACAGTTAATTCTATCACACTATTAGGAGCATTTTTATTTTTAGCAGTTTCAACAATATCCGAAAAATAATAACTTGGTTTGGTTACAGACAGTACCAAAAAATATTAGGAAAATTAAAACCCCCTTTAAGATGTCTATTGAAGCCTATGAAATAGTTGGTTATGATAAAATGACCCATAAATTTAATAAAATAGTACATCCCTTGGTGACAAGTACGAACTTGAGCACCAAAACGGCACGGTAGTTGTACTTTTGTGCCTAAGTAAATTGTATTTTTTTTTATGAACGGGGCGAAAGTTATAATTTTGCGAGAACCACAGGTAAAAAGCAGCAGCTGCATTTTCACCCTATGTAAGAAAATTGAAATCGATTTTTTAAATTTATATAATAACTGTTTTGCATCTTACCTTATACCAGTGCATTGGAACTCTTTTAATAATTGCTGCCATGTTTCTAATAATAGAAGCACTTCCATTCTTTTGTAATACTGTTGAAATGAGTTGAAAACTAGAGGCAGTGGTTGTTTATCATTGTGTTTAACTATAGGAGGTAAAGATTTTACTTCGTTTTGCTGCTGAAGCCAAATAGGTTCCCATACAAATACTCGAGCTAAGAAATCCTCAATTTTTAATTCCATTTGTTTGTAGTAAACAAAATCTTTTTTAGTACTTCGAAGACTTAAACCATCTTTTATGTTTCTAAGTTTATTTCCATCTATAATCTGAAACTCTTTGACAGCAGGTGTATCATTAAACGAAACAGTTTTACGTCTATTATTTAATAAAGAAGGAATTGTTAGAGATGGTTTTAAATTTTGATCCTTAAAAGGTGCATCAGTATACATCGGCTCTATAGTTGAAGGCGAAGGTGAATTATTTCGAGGAGGCGAGTCTTCTGCATGATTTACTATGTTTGGTATTACTGCAAGCGTATCCGTGGACGAATTCAATGGAGGTGGACTGTTTAGTCTATCGGGAATAGAATCAGTACTTGAAACAACACCAACATTAATATTATTATAATTAGTTGAAGAAGGCATTTGACGGCGTGGGATAACAAACACCGGATCAAGTCGTGTTAGTGGTGGCTTTATTGGAGCTTCATCTAAGTTTTTGTTTTTCTTTTGTTCTGGTCTTAATGTTAGCATCGAATCGCAAAGCATATCCCCACGAGACTTTTGGCTGACTTTAACTTTAACTTTGGTTGTTCTATATTTTGGCCTACTTTGGTTTTGCAGCTTTGAGTTTGATGTATTACCAATAGAGTTTTCATTAGACATGTTGAATAATTCTTTGCTAGTATTATTACTGTTTAGGTCTTCATGGGCAGAATTTTTTTTATTACTTTTTAGATTTTTAAAATTTAATTCTTTATTCATATCCTTGTCATTATCAAATTCCCTATTTTTACCTTTTTTCTTGGAGGAACGGGTTGTATCTTTGTGTTTTGTAAGCTTGGAATGACTTTTTCTTTGTCGAAATTCATGTCTGCTTTTTGATCTACTTCTGGAATCCTTTTCAGAGTTTCTACTTCGTCTACTTGTTTTTAAATGATGCGGTTCTACTATTTCAATACCAATTTTTTTTTGTACTTTATCTTTTAAAGATGATTTCTCTGATTCCTGCTCCGATGGTTTTGGTCTTTTGCTGATGCTGGATAACACATGCTCTTCTACATCTTTGTTATTAACTGGTGAAAAAGTTTTCTGTTTCTCTGGTACATTAGAGATTTTAACAGTATTAATTATTACACTTTCACTTTGCTCATGAATACCTAAAGTTGATGCTTCAACATAAGTAACACATGGTTTACTGCTAGCTGATACTTCTACTCTCAAGTTGGGTTGAGCTAAATGTTCATCAACTTGGAAAGTATCAACTGATTTTTGACTATCTGCCCTAATCTCAACTCTTAATTCTGGCTCTATTTTGATGGGAGGGATTAATTGCGAATAATCAACTTGATTATTTTCTGCTCCTATATTATCCTCATCGCTGTCCAGAATTGTTATAATATTGTCATCTTCATCATCAAAAAATAAGGAAGATTGAAGTTGGTCATCCTCGTTTTCACACTCTACCTTAATGTTGGCTGCTTGTTCGAAATTTTGTGAATATGTAAATATACTGACATTATTATCGTGATCATTGTCTATTTCGACTACGTCAATCTGTGAAAAATGACTCCAGTCTGGTTCTTCTTTTACAGAAACTATATCATGATTCGCATCATTAAGTTGCTCTTGATTATTTGCATGTTCATGATTAGAAGGTATACTAATAGCCGTATTTGGAATATCATTGGTTAGTGATACACTCTCATATTCACTGATTTTTGTTGATTTAATTTCTATGTTTTTTGTACAAGTACCATTATTTAAGCATTCTACATTAATTTTACATTTTACATCTTCAGAATCTGATAATTCAATGACATCAGGTATAACTTCTGAAATTTCTTGTTTGGTGCTCACAACATTACTTGTACAAAAATTTACGTCATTCGTTTTAGATTTAGGAATACTTTGACCTCCTTCTGTGTTCGAAGTACTCGTACATTCAATTATTTCTATACAGTCATCCTCATTGGTACAACTTATTTGTACACGATGATCAGAGCATTTCACAATTTTAGATGGTACGCTGTTTAGATCAGATTTACGTGCCTTTGATTGCTCCTTGAGAGACTGCCTGTCAGATTCTAAACAGTTGTTACTAGAACTACTAACAAATGGAATACCGTTGTCACCATGATTCAAGTTAAGTATCTAAAAATTTCACTAGATAAGTTTCATTAACATGAAAGTATTTAGGATAAATTGTTTAACAGATTTGTTACCTTTTTTTTCACTCTGAAAACATACATTGAATCGTCTAAGTTTTTTATTTCATTACAGCCAATACCAACGATATCATTGTCATTTAGTGGAATCGACTTTTTTTCCTCTATTTTTACACCATTAATATATACACCGTTGGAACTCTGTATGAGTAATTCATTATTACATGACATGCAACTTAAAATTTAAAAAAGACCGTGCATAAATTCAGTAGAGTTGACATTACATGGTAGATAGTAAAAATTAGTATGGACAAAAAATGGCAACAAAAACACACATAGCTTTAGTAGACAGTGAAGTATAGATGACGGTTTGTAAATAGCGTACGATTATAAATTATTTAAGTAAATTATTTGTATATAATAGTAAAGCTGCCATTATAACTGGAGGAAAACTTAAAAATAAAATCCTAATACGAACAATCACTTTTAATACGGGTAAATATATTGTCTTTAGCTATTTTTTTAGTTTGAGTATTTGCTATGAAAATCAAGAAATCCCAAGAAATCCCGAAGGACATCATACATACATCCGCTGAGGAGAGAAAAAAAGGATAACTACTGGGCCGCTGAGACACAGCAGCGATAACGGAAAAGGACGAGGAAATGAGTACACGACTATCAGAATAGCAGTAGCTATGTCGAGAGTAACTGCAAAAAGAAATACGCGATAGCAGCATCGACGATGGCCATAGCCAAAAGCGAGAACTTGCGCAGACATAAGTAGAGATATTGCTAACGCCAATGCTACGATGAGAGACGACTTTTTGGCACTAATCGGGGCAACCCACATTTGCCAGCCATCCCGGAAGCACATTTTTCGAGAGTGTCAGACTCATATCCAACAGTGTGCGCCTACAAGAAGAAGAGTGGATTCGCGTAGAAATAAGCATTTAGGCGCCCATTTTGGAGACACATGGAAGGGGTATAGCGAATATGCGTCTACGAGGAAAGAGATGGAAATGTCGACTATAGCTACATAGCTGAGCGCACAACCAAAGTAAGCGATGACACAAGTTTTTTCTCTTTTGACTGTAACTGAGTATATGCTACATATATTTAACTGACTCTTGCTCTCGCTCTTGCTTTAGTGTTATCTATTAATCTTATTTAATTGAATCGTGGAACTAAATGCTCATTATATGCATCAATTATGTGCATAGACTTTTGATTTCAAAACATTACTTTTTTATTGTTCCCGTGCCGTAATACTTATTTTGAAATTCAGTATCATTTTGAAAAAATATTCAGCTTCTTTTCTAAGGGTGGCAGTTCAGCTACAACCACTAATTTATTATTTTTTCTCATTATGATTTTTATGAACTGTAGGACAAGCTCCAGAGGCTATCAATGAACATATGCAACTTGAAGATCTATCTCAACGAATGTTCCGATAGCTAAGATGGCTAAGGTTTATGCCACTGCCTGAATTGTTTTGCCGTCTTAGAATCAATCCTAACTATCGGCAGATTTTTTTTTTTTTTAATGTGATTTATCATTCTAGTTTAATTTTTTGTATTTAAATTTATAAGTAATGTTGCAAACACTTTTTTGCGATGCGTCCAAATAAATATATACATTTTAAAACTCCCAAGATATAAACATCTAATATAAGAGAGCAATAATCCGAAGGCACAAGAAAACTTACCTTTATTACAATAATATCAAATATAATACTTACCAGCAAAGTAGAACATTCATCCAATCATACAACAATATTTGTCTGCATACATTTATTATATTTTCTAGCTTATATTTACATTTCTAATAATTTCTTTTCAATGAGGCTATCAATGAACATATGCAACTTGAAGATCTATCTCAACGAATGTTCCAATAGCTAAGATGGCTAAGGTTTATGCCACTGCCTGAATTGTTTTGCCGTCTTAGAATCAATCCTAACTATCGGCAGATTTTTTTTTTTTTTAATGTGATTTATCATTCTAGTTTAATTTCTTGTATTTAAATTTATAAGTAATGTTGCAAACACTTTTTTGCGATGCGTCCAAATAAATATATACATTTTAAAACTCCCAAGATATAAACATCTAATATAAGAGAGCAATAATCCGNTCTATTGAATAATTTGGTAAGTTAATACTTCTTGTGGGCAAGGCCATTTCGTAATTCCATAATAATAAAATAGTTTCTTATAATATAAGTATAATTGTTACATTTTAAAACTCCCAAAAAATTATAATTATCCAATGCAAGAGAGAAAAAATCCGAAGGCACAAGAAAACTTAAACAAAACTCCCTAAACATTTATTTACCGTCTTTTGTTGTAAAAAATTTTTAGGTACAGCAGATATACTTATTGTATTAATTGAATGTACAATTTCAATTTTTATTATAAAATGCTGATTCTAGAACAAAGTTTTAATTAGCCTATGTACGTATCAAAACTTAATGCCCTTGAAAATTATTGAACAGAAATCTGAACAGTCATGAAAAACAGATCTCATAGATCTAGATTGATTCTTTGGTTAGCACTTGAAGCTTTTTTCTTGCGGACTGTTATAAATAAGGGCTCCTCAACTAAAGTTCATAATTGGTCTAAATTAACAAGGCAAATCATCAGCGTCCGTCTACTGCCAATTACTGCATGTTAAAATTTTTATCAGTAAAAACATTTGATAAACACAATAGAAAACATTTTTGTAAAAATTTAAAATTGTTTTAAATCCTCACCTAGGCATATAACTTAGTTTTAATTTCAGACTGCAAAAAGAATAATAAAACAGCTTTTCGAGCAATAATGAAATAAAATCATTTGGCAAATTTCTAAGGCATAAGGATTTTTTAAAATATCTTATTAATTTGTTAATAAAAAAAGGAAACTATAACTTACCAGGGTAATGCAGAAAATAAAGACCTTATTTTTAATTAAGGCATTAACAGTGGTTTTTTTTGTTAATAAGTATTGTAAACGATTTTAATGAATAACATGAGAGTGCGTTTATGATTATAATCCGAAGATTATGATTATTGCATAGTCAAATAAAAATATTATTGTATCGAAACAGCTTAATCATTTCTTAAAAAAAAAAAAAAAAAAAAAAACACTATAAATTTGTGGAAATTATGAATGAGCTTGAAACTTTTTTTTTCTTGAAATCTATACTGTCAGTTACAAGTGGTTGTAACCACAAACAAGAAATTATTAGAAATGTAAATATAAGCTAGAAAATATAATATATGTATGCAGACAAATATTGTTGTATGATTGGATGAATGTTCTACACATACATCCGCTGAGGAGAGAAAAAAAGGATAACTACTGGGCCGCTGAGACACAGCAGCGATAACGGAAAAAAATACTCGAGCTAAGAAATCCTCAATTTTTAATTCCATTTGTTTGTAGTAAACAAAATCTTTTTTAGTACTTCGAAGACTTAAACCATCTTTTATGTTTCTAAGTTTATTTCCANAACTAGAATGATAAATCACATTAAAAAAAAAAAAAATCTGCCGATAGTTAGGATTGATTCTAAGACGGCAAAACAATTCAGGCAGTGGCATAAACCTTAGCCATCTTAGCTATCGGAACATTCGTTGAGATAGATCTTCAAGTTGTATATGTTCATTGATAGCCTCTGGAGCTTTTTCTACAGTTCATAAAAATTATGATGAGAAAAAATAATAAATTAGTGGTTATAGCTGAACTGCCATCCTAAAAAAAAAAGCTGAATATTTTTTCAAAATGATACTGAATTTCAAAATAAGTATTACCGCACGGGAACAATAAAAAAGAAATGTTTTGAAATCAAAAGTCTATGCATATACGAGCATTTGTGTGAGTGTTTGTAGGTTAGTGTGGGGCTAGGAAAAGCAGAAGCTCTTTATGGTCCAGAATGAACGGGAAGCAGTGGACGTGCTCTTGTGGCTCGCGTGGTGCGAGCAGAGTCACTGCAGCGCAGTTTATGTGACGACATGAAACATAGGGTAGTGTATAGAGTATAGTATATAGTGAAGTATTCTTTTCCATTGTAGGAGAATAAATCCAAGGTATACGAAGGAAAAAGGAGACGTATGAGAGCGAGAATCGTCAACACTGTGTTGGCACCCCATTTTATTGTCAAATGTACACTGAGAAAGATTTGTCGCCGTCAGAGTACTACAGATAGTATAGTGTTAGTTTGGAAGTTTAGTGCGTCAGCGATACCAGTTAACATGAGAGCTGCATAAGACCTGTATATGCACTGCATTTAACTTATGGTTTATGTAGAAGTCGAACCACACTATAGGTAATACTACGATGCTACTTTGGGACACTTTACTGTTTGGACTGGTGCATAACTACTGAAGTACTCAAAAACAGCAGACTAATCGTGATTTGGTATAGCTGTTGTAGGGGGTGAGACAACTGCAGCACCAAATCTTGCTCAGTGTAAAAGTTACGCATGGGGATAAAAAGGCACTTACTTTTAATTATATGTTCTACAACTTTAACGCTGCACACTTTTTTTTATTCTACTTCAGCTTGTAAGTATAGATATATCTACGAGAACAGTTTCTTATTGCCCTGCCCTACCCGCAAACAATAAGGCAATGGTTTTCTAAAATAGATTCAAGTCCTGGATCAAGTCTTCCGGTAATAAATTTTCTACAAAAATTTTCTAATAAAGATCTACAAAAGTGGTAAGATTACCTTTAAACTTTTTTTCAGTCATCAAAAAAATGGGTGCCTATAATATAAAATAATCTTTTATGCTCTCAATTTCAATGTGCATATAAGAAAATAGTAAGCTATGTCAATAATATCGACGTCGAAGGAAATTGTACAATCCCAAACGATACGTAGATTTTAAAAATCCATCCAAAAAGTGTTGATTCCAACGCTTATCTTACATCACTTTTGGTAGATCACGATTAAATCAAAAGTACTGGATGGTGCTTAAACGAGTATCAAAACGATACAGTTTTTTACATTGCCGGTTCAATTGTTAAAAGCATAAAAAATAAGATTTATTGTCCAGTGTGTGTGTCGTGGCAGCTTGAAAAGCGGTCGTAACAAAATGTCTTTTGATAACCGTTACAAAAAAGAAATTTCTTTTATTTTGAACAAAAAAATTGGCTTAGTTTTCTCCAGTAAATATTTTATTTATGTATGCAAAATTGCAAAGAAAGTAATTAGAAGAGAA